AGGTCTTGGTTCCAGCTCATCTCTCTGCCCCCAACCCCTTGTTGCAGGACTTTGGTCAGCACTATGAACTCACACTGCTCTGGGGCAGGTAGGAGCCTATGGGGGACCATGGGAAGGAACTGCTCCACCTAAGGCAGGATGTGTGCACATTAACCTCGGCTTGCCACCTGATGATGCTGTGACCCTTCTGGATCATTCCCTTCATTCTGGGCCCCGCTCTTGTCTCCTTGCTCTGTGGCGCTCTGCCCAACTTCCACCAGGCGTGGAGGATATGCCTGTCACAAGACCTTCTATGATCTTTGGGGATGCTTTAGGAAAACACCTGGAGGGTGTTGGCTGAGCAGGCCTGGGCCTTGTGCCTCCCGACCCTGGAGGCCACAATAGGGGCTGGGCCTCCATCCTTGAGGTACAGAATCACCATTCAAAAGAGGGACACATTCATGCCTCTTCCCATCCTGCCTTTCCTCATCCTGCTAGCAGTGCACACATTGTGCTAAGTGCTAGGGTCTGATCAGAGGAAGAGAGTCCTGCCACCACCTCCTGTTTGATGGGATGTTGAGTCATCCTGGATTTCCTTAGGAATCAGTTGAGGCAGGATCATCCCATAGTCCCCCTTACCACACAGTCTTAAGGAAGCTGCAGTACTTCCTGCACTCACTTCAGCTGTTGGCTCCTCCATGTTAGGTTGGAAGTTGGGAATGCAGAGGTGCCATCTCCTGAGAGATACTAGGTGTCCAAAACAGAGGTCCATCTCATCCACTCAGGGCAGAGTCTTTGTCTTTGTGCTTCCCAGGTCTCTCCTCCACCTCCAAACCTCCCTATTCCCTGGCTGAACACTAGGATGCCACACCTGCCCTGTTTCAGTGTCTTAAGCTCCATCCTTTCCTCATGCTCCATGCACCTAGAGTTTTCTCTGCTCCCTCTCCCACTGTGTTCCCAGAGCACCTGCTTCACACATGTGATCAGCAGTGTCAACCATTTTTTCCCCACCTGGCCTCAGATGCTGCTACCGACTTCTTAGGCCCTACAAAATAACCTGCCATGGTAACTTCCAGAATTACTCTCCACCTCTGGCTTTGGCTCTCCATATTGCCCCTCCCTTTGTGCCATGATCTTCATTTACCAGCTCCACTTTTGCTCTTCTAGGTCTTCGTCCCATTCTCTTAATTGTGGGGAAACCTTTCCTCTCTTGATACACAAAGTCCTTCTTCATTAACGTCACCTTCTCTCTACTTACCACCAGTAAGTGTCTGTGCTTTTAGCGACTTGGGGACTCACCCTATTCCATTACTTCTGCACTGTGACATTGCTCCAGCAGTTCTCCCTTGCTCTCCTGCATCATTAGTTTATTTCTCTCAACTGGATCTTTTCCACCAACATGCAACATGCTTATATTTCCTACCTTTAAAAAATCCTCTTGGTGCTATTGCCTTGTTTTTTTGCACCTTTGTGGAACAAACCTCCTTGACGGAATTGATCACACTTGCTGTCACCAATTGCGCTCTATTCTCTCTTGAATCTACTCTTGTTATGCCTTCACCTCCATCATTCACCTGAGTCTGTTCTTCTCAAGGTCCTGAGTGATCTACGTGTTGCTAAATCTAATGGTCAACTCTGAGCCCTCATCTTACTTGGCCACTTGGCAACTTTTCATGCAGTTGACCACTTTCTCCTGGCAATACTTTCCTCTCTTGGCTTCCAGTGTACCACTCTCCTGGTTTCCTCCTGCCTCACTGGCAACTACTCAGTCTCTGCTTATTGTTTCCTACATCTTCCCCTAGTTTCTTTCTTATACAAAGATCTTTCCGGTAAGTCAATTACTCAGGCTCTCCTAAGTTTCAATCTGGCTATCATTTGTTAACTTGCCTCTTTGTTATATATAGACAAGACCATCATGTCACAGAATGTTCCTGGTTACACATGTTTATATATGTTTGTGTATTTTTCATGCTGATAATATAAGTAAGATGTGTCAAGTTATCTGACCAAGTTATGCAGCCTCCAAATCAGACAAATTTTTTTTTTTTTTGAGGAAGATCAGCCCTGAGCTAACTTCCATGCCAATCTTCCTCTTTTTGCTGAGGAAGACTGGCCCTGAGCTAACATCTGTGCCCATCTTTCTCCACTTTATATGGGACACCGCCACAGCATGGCCTGACAAGCGGTGAGTCGGTGTGTGCCCAGGATCTGAACCTGGGCCGCCAGTAGCGGAGAGCACGCGCTTAACCACTATGCCATGGGGCCGGCCCCCAAACCAGACAAATTTTGAGCTTATGATTAACAAAACAAAACAAAACAAAAATACCAGGTATGACTTGTGTCCAAGACAATTGTGTCCCAACACCATTACTACTAGTCAACTTGACTCAATTTTATTTATCTCTTTCTAACCTGACAGGGCTCGTATACAGTTAAGCTAACTGATCAGAAGGATAGAATGATAAGGGGTGGAATAGTTCTGTTTGGAATTAAACTCTGTAACCAGTAGACTCAGACACACAAGCTCAGATGGTGATTAACGATGCATGGATTTTGGTGGTGGTGTTTTATTTCTCACAATAGTCAATAGACCTCTGTGTGCTTTATTTTATTTATTACAGTAATGAAGTGGTGTTGATAGCTAAACTGTGTGCTTTTTACTTAATTGAAAAGAGCTGTAGTGGAAGTGTTTCCTTGGGGAAGGGGCTATTTGTGTTTTTGGTTATGGTGGTGATGTTGAGGAGTGTTGACTTTTGACTTTGCCATGGGAAGCAAAGGGCCTTTTTTCCCTTGCTTTTAAGCTGTAGCTTGTGACTTCCATTTAACCATATATTTGTAGTGAGTGCTAAATTATGTGATTTCCCTCTGTAAGAATACAGATTCATTGCCTGCATGTCCTAAGTTTCTGTTTTACTGGGGAGTTTTCTGGGAATGGGGTTCTTTCTTTTGCAATGTGTATCCACTTTTAGGCCTTCTAATTGAAAGGTGCAACAACTCTCATCAGATTTCATTAACACTAGCCAGTTTTCTGAGTAGAGTAGCACTAATTTTCATGTTTCAGACCTGACTCATGTTGGAACAGTTTTTTTTTTTTTTTTTTGGTGAGGAGGATTGGCCCTGAGCTAACACATATTGCCAATCTTCCTCTTTTTGCTTGAGGGAGAGTGGCTCTGAGCTAACATCTGTGCCCATCTTCCTCTATTTTGTATGTGGGATGCTGCCACTGCACAGGTTGATAAGCAGTGTGTAGGTCCGCACCTGGGATCCAAACCTGTGAACCCCGGACCGCCAAACTAGAGCACACCGAACTTAACCACTGCACAACCAGGCCGGCCCTGGAGCAGGTTGTGATTGTATGATTGGGTGAGGGTGGAGGTGGGAAACAAGGAGTTCACTTTTCTATGGTTTGAGGTGAATATTGGACATCTGAATGTATATGTTGCTTTAGACAGTTGGGCATGTGAGACTGTCTATCTCATGAGATCATGAGCTCCATTATGCAAGTCCTGTATCTTATTCATTGCTGAGTCTGCTCTGGTACCTTGCATATAGTAAGTACTCAAATATTTTAATTGTTGAGTGTAAGACGCTTCTCAAGATCGTTTTTATTGTGACCCTCCTGGGGTCCTTACCAGCTGAGTACTTCCTCCTGTGGCAGGATCCCCCATTCCATAGCACTATTCATACTAATGTAATGATTTGTCTGCCTCCCCAGGCCAGACTTTGGATTCAAGTACTATTACGGTATTACTATGACCCAGCCTATCCTAAACCCTAGGGGTATGAGACACTATTGTAATTATTTAGGCAAGAACAGATGAGAAACTGAATACAAGCAGAGGCAGTAAAAATAGAAGAAGGGGGAAAAGTTGAGAGATATTAAGATTAGAACCAAGTGACTGACTTCATGTTTGGGCTGAACAAAAACATGGATTTATGGTTATTCCATTCCCTGACATTGGGAAACAGTTTGGTGGGGTGGAGAGTGAGTGTTCAGAAATTTTGAATTAATTTGCATTGTCTTTGGACAACAAGCTCAACTCACTGCTCTTCATTATACAATGGGCAACAGACCAAGATTCAGTTGATTCACCTCCCTCCCATAAAGGCATTTGGACCTTGGGTTGGCTTCCTGGCTCCTAGGTTCTATTGAGTTTGAAGCAAACTGGCTTTGCTGCCTTATCATGCCCTGGTCAGGAACCTGTCAGACTCTGTCCCAGGTACTCAGACCTCTGTCTACATGCTCCTCCTCCCTGCTTCTCTCCCTGCCTGCTCTTGGGGGTGGGGCACAAGCCCCTCCCCATGTCCTACTGTGATCTTCATTCCAGGTGTCAGTCATTCCATGCAGCTGCTGGGCAGTGGAGGTGGGATATAGGCTAGAGAGCTACAGCAGCCTCCCAGATGAGTTGTGGAGAAAGATCTAACCAATAATCATCATGGAGCAGAGGGGGAGATTCTGTCATTTGCTTTTGACACCCTGTCATATTAGCTGTGAGCTTTTGATAAACACAAAGCACCTCCTCAAGGATAGACACTGTGGCCCTCCTCTAAACCTTCCCTCCAGATTGTGGGCCTATATAGGAGTCGTCAGTGAACTGTGCCTGTGCGATTCCTGGCCACTCCTTCTTGTCAGTACTATCCTCACGTCCACATTGCACCTCTGGGCCCAAGGACACCATGGGACACCACGATAGAGTTCAAGCCTGACCTTTACCTTCAGTGCACCTTAGACAAGGGCCGTCCTTCTCTGCTCAAGTCTCTTTATCCACAGTCCAGGGTGGGGCTGGGAGGAGTTGTGTGGAATGCTGACCCAGCTTAAGTGTGGGTTAAAGCTCCTTTCCTAGAGAGGAAGGACATTTTAGCCCCGTGCCTTCCCTTAACACACCCCAGTGGCAAGAAGGCGCAGACAGACAAGTCTTTGCTTAGATTATAGAGTGTATTTGGGTGACGCTCTGCCCCATGTGCGCAGTAATGAAATTGATGGTAGCAGTCCTTTTCAAGTGATGCAGACATTGGGAAACCTACAGAGTCTTTTGGTGGTGCTGGGTCTTCTTGAGGAGACCAACGTTTCCCACTGAGTGGGTAGTTGAGAATTCAGGTGGGTTCCCTGGGTGGGTGGCACATGCCACTCGAGGACAGTGGCGAGGGCAGTGGCGGGGGTGGCCCAGGACTGAGACAGAGTGGAGTTGATGGGAGTGGGAGCAGTGCCGGAGCTTACTGTCTGGGGAAGGGGCGCCATCCCAGAAGGCCACGCTGACCTGCTTCTCAGTGTGGGGAGATTGGGCCTTGGGGTCCCTTCTTGTCTTCTGTGTCTTAGTTCGCCCTGTGGGACTTTTGGCTGGAGCCAGGCTCTTTTTTACATTTTCTTTTGTGGTGCTGGCCACCTTCTCAGCTGTGGAGAACATGGATTCCTTGTGCCCTTTGCCTTTTGTCTTGGGGTTAATCCAGTGCAGAAAGGATTTCATCTTATTTTTTAAGCCAGATTCCGGGAGGCCAGGCCTCTTGTGAGTATGGACTGGCATCACCTGCCCCTGCAAAACGTGACCTTGCAAAGTTTGGCCCTGCAGTGGCTTACCCTGAATGAGTTGGCCCAGGAAATGCTGGCTCTGGGATGCCTGGGGCCCCACAGGCTGTGCACGTTCAGGAGTCCCTGCTGGGTTGAGGATGATGTTGAGCTTGGTTTGACTGTCTTGCGGGTCATTCTTCTCAGAATCCTGCCCCCCAGGGACTCCTGGTGGTAGCTCTGGGAGCTTAAGCTGAGGGCGACGTTCGGGACTGTGTGGACGGGGAGCTTCAAGGTGAAAGCTATGGCTCCATCGCCAGGGGTTGTGGGGTGTCCTGTGCAGAAGCATCCCTTCTGGCCTCTGGGCTTCGGCAGGGTGGCCGTTTTCTCTTGTTGAGGAGAACGCAAACCCTGCATCCCCTTCTCCGTGGTCCCCTGCCGATTTGGGTTTCCCCGGGTCCTCTCTGTTTCCTGCGAGCTTGGGGACTTGGGCTGAGTCGTTGCTCTTGCCAGGGCTTTGGGGCTCAGGGCTCCAGGGCTCCACCAGGCTGGGGAGGTTCACACTGGCCTCCAGCTGAACACAAAGCACCTGGGCCTCTGTCACATCCCCACTGGGCTGTGAGATCTTGGAGGCCCCGTGGGCAGAACCATGGTGTACTGCTCTGGAACTAGGGTGCTTATGGCTCTTCTGCACTGCCTTTAACTCACTGGCCAGCTGTTCTTTAAGATGGAGCCATTCTGGATCTGGGGCACGAGGCGTGTCTGGTGTGATGGGGAGTTCCTGGAGCAGTGTTTTTCCTGGGTTGATTACACTCCCAAGGGACTCCTGTGTGGAAATGTTCTCTGGGATTGCTAGGGTTAGTTCCCTGGATGCCCTTGCTCTTACGGGAATTCCCAATTGTATCTCTAGGATCTTCTTTCTCAGGTGGAAATTTAGTTTGGCCAAGATGGGTTTCTTGAGTGTGTAGGGGGTAGCAGGGTCTGTCTGGCTTTCCAGAGGCACCATCTCGATCATTCCTTCCACCTGCACTTCAGCCTGGAACTCATCTGCAGAGTCTGCACAAGTCTCGTTGGCATCTTGAAAGCATGGCCCAGCACTTCGACACTGCTCTTCACATGAGATCTCCTGGGTCAGAGGTTCCGTGAGGAATCGGACTGGCCCAGGCACCTTGTCTGTGATTAGAGCTTGGGTAGTGATTGCCGGGGCCATGGCCCTGGAGAGAGCCACATAATAGAGAGCAGGCAGCCCTGACAAGAAGGCCAGATACTTGTGCCGTAAAGTCGTCTCCAGTTTCTCAAGGGCTCCCTTGGACAGGGCTCGGGGCAGCTTAGGATGTTCATTGTTGGCATCTGCAGAGGCTTGTTGCTGCTGCTCGAGGGCTGTGGGCATCCAGGGTGTAACTTCCTGTTGTAGATCAGAGTCAGTGGCTGCCTGTCGCTCCAGGGGCTTGCTTTCTGGGATGCAGGTGAGGGGAGCCCCTTCCAGGCCGCCAGGAATGATGCACTCCCAAGAGCTATATACACAGGCAGGGACCTTGCCCTGGTGAATCTGCCCATGTTTGGAGTTGATGTGGCTCTGCAACATTGCCTTGGCCTGGTCGAGCAAGTGTGGCACGGGGACTGACACTGGTTCCATGATGGGTGAGAAGGGGTCACCAGCCCCATTGGTGTCTAGGACTATGGATTGGGGAACAGTCACATTGGCTAGGGCTGTGCTGTTCCAGGACAGAGTGTGCTGATCAGCGGGGGACAGGAGCAACTGGATGGACTGCTGGATCTTCTGGGGCAGGCCCCAGC